TAACTAAACACTAAGAAATTAAATAATAATAAAAAAAAATAAAAAAATAATAATAAAAAAAAAGTTGTTAGAGTGTAAATTGAGTTTTATGACCCAAAACATCTGGTTGATGCGAACTCATAAAAATCTAGGCTGGAATGGCATATGAAGTTGGACCTTTAAAATCATCTAAAAATAGATTTGTTAGTATATTTGTATAAATTCATCAAACCCACCACCACCATCTTACACATTAACGTATACATGTCAAGGATAAAAAAGAACTGAAAATGGAAAACAAAATTTGATTAGATTTTATATCTAATTATAAGCAAGGTTCATTTTTTCTAATATGACAGCTACAAAACTTCAAGAATACATTTGAGAACCAGCTTATATTTTTATTTTTAATAATATGTGAGCCTGCATAAACTATAAAAAGTATTATACATGTTTTAACATTCCATGATACAGACTACAATGTTGTAACTAGCGATAACATATACTAAAAACAACATACAGAAAGAATTAAAATTGTCATTGTTTAAAAAGATTATTATGTTTTTCTTATTGTTAAAAAGGAAAGTATATTCTAGCCTTCAGTCCTTTTAAACAAATCAAGACCAATGTAGGTTTGATGTTTAGGTTTGTCCAATAACTATAAATAGCAATGACCTTTTTTATCAACAAAAAATCACAAACATGGAGCATGTTTGAACATGGAAAAGTTATACAAAATTTTTAGGTCTTTTCACAAAATTAAAATAATCATCCAAAATCTAAATCACATTTATGTATGGTATGTGGTATTTTGGGGAACTCTGTAAGCCTTGTGCTTACGATTTCATATCTATGGTTTTAGATATTGCCAGTTCGAAAGGGAAGGGCTCGGTTTGATGGCAACGCATCCACCCATGTTTTCACACTTTATAATTTTGGGATTGTACTCTGATAACTATTTTTACTCTGACATACCTTTGAATGGTTGATAAGAATAAATGGTGTTTATGTTTTTACCTTATAATTTTTTGGATGCTTCAATTCATATAGCTTGTATCTAGAATCCAAAGGTGTAACTTGCACCGTCATCATCATCGTCATATTGTAATCAAAGGACTATATAAGTAGACCAAATTGATTCCCTAGTCAATTTTTGTGTTAACATAAGTTGTTTTTACCATGAAACTAAGTGCATATTGGATTAATGGATTCCAACGAAATTGGAACTCAAGATTCCATTCTAGACAGGTTTGCTACTAAATGGGCTACCAAATGGGCTGAAATTGAATTCAGTTCTGTCTGAATCTTTCAAATTCCATGTTTATAACATTTCACCCTTTTTAGGGGAGGAATTCGATTTTATTCTTCCTTTTTTTATTAAAGGAGAAAGAATACCATCATTGTATATAGATATACTTATAAAAGAACATTCAATCATATATATATATATATATATATATATATATATATATATATATATATATATATATATATATATATATATATATATATATATATATATATATATATACCTTATAAAGAATATTTAGTCAAATGCTGAATTTTAAGTCCTACAAGACTTTATGCAATATGTAGAATAAATCTATGCATCGAATCTTATTTGGACAACATACATATGGCTTTTTGACCGGATCTCATTTCTTATCCCGTCCAACAACTTCCCCATTATTTTGCCCTTACTTCAGCATTATAATTATATACCTCTGGCCATTTATATAAAACATACGCTCTTCACCATTCACCATCTACACCTTTACCTCCGCCATCACTCTCTTCTTTCTCCATAACCGGTCACCAACACCACCTCACGCCTAATACCACCATCGTCATCAGCTCCGTATCACAGCGCCTCCGTCGCACCACTATTACACTTCCATCACCATACACTCAACCATCAGTTTTCTCCTCCTTCTCCCCCTTAATTGGAGACCATCACAAGCATATACACATACCTTACTCCACCTTCAGCCACCTGGACACCCTCCTCGACAGTCGGTGCAGTGAGAAACCCTAGCCACCATAATCTTCAAACTCATTAATCGGAGACCATCGCAAACTCAGTCATTTCTCTCACTGTAATCTCCATGAATAACCCTAGCTTAGAGCTCCAAGAGCCTCCCCCCTGTTCCCTAACTATGAATGGTGTGTAGTGGTGAAGGTTGCCTATTTGGGAAAACCACCCATTTCTCCTTTTCTGTTCCAGTCATAGCCCTCCAAGTACGATTTCAGATAAACTTTCAATCACCTTCTTTCTCTCTCTTTTCTTTACATTTTCCAGTCACCACCATGTTCTCTCTTAAAAAATTGTATACACTACCCCAATGCAAATAATGTGTATTTAATATATTCCTTGAAGTTCTTGTTTGTTGTTGTAACTGTTTTGTTTTGAAGAATAAGGCAAAGCACCCCATGTTTTCGATGGAATGCCCCAAATGAGATGCACTTTCCTATTATGCTCCATCTCTTATCCTTAGACCTGGCAATGGAGCGGTTTTTGACCCTGATCCGCTCCAAACCCGTGCAAAATTAATGGGTTTGGGTCATATTTTATGATTCGTTTACCCATTAACGACCCATACCCGGTAACCATTTTATTAAAATGGTCGGGTAGGGATCACTATCAATCCGATCCATTTATGACCCACCCCATCTAAATTTTTGAAATATAAATTAATTATTCATAAGTAATAACACATTTATCAATCTTCACATATAGGAGTCAAGGAGTTAGACTGTTAAACATGCTACTTCAACTTCCCAGTTCAATTCCTAATCTAAATGGCCGATTGTCGTCGACTCCCAATATAATCGACTCTATAATCTTTTGAAATCGACTATGAAATCGATATTCCACAATCAACACTCAAGAGCAAGAAGAAAAGGGTTTCAGTTAAGATTCAATAAGAAGAATAAAGGCTGCAATCGACTGATCGACATTCCACAATCATAATACATTGGAAAAGTTATTTATATAGCTATAATGGATGTTTGTTTTGAAGTGAATGTTGTTTGGTTTTAGTGATCATGTTATATGTGTTTTAATGAATAATTATAGCCTAAACTTAATATTGTAAATGGGTCGGGTAAAGGGTTGAAATCCGTTGATCCGATGGATAAGGGTATGGGTTTAATCATTCAAAACTCTACGGGTTACGAGTCGGGTTTGGATCATCTTTTGAAAATTGCTTAATGGGTTTGGATCAATTCCGATCCGCTCCAAACCCGCTAGTTCTCCTTCTTATGGTCACGGTAGGATTATTGATTGGCATACATATACTTCGATTTTGTTTGCACTTTTTTGTTAACTTTGAATTATGACAGGTTCAAATATAAGGTGCGGAAAATATAAGGGTGAAAAGATTGATCTACTCTGGAGGGCTTGTATCTTGCTATTGGTGCAAGTATATTTCTCTTTTATCAAAGTGTTGGTATTCAAACTTATTGTTTTCTCTTTCTCCTCTGCTTCTTCTTTGTTGCAAAACGATGGCCCAAAAGATTGTTGTAGAATGGATGCATCTAGAAAACAGCTTTGTACATGCATCTCTTTTAAGTTTCATCTATTTGAAGAGCCTACTTAGCTTTAGTTTTAATATTCATGGTCGTTTGTTCTTTGTTTACATTGCTTATTTGATTTAGAAAGGGAATAAAGTGGGGATTGTCTTTTAACTATTGATCAAAACTATTTTGTTTGTGAACAATGTCGACACAGGTGTGGAAAAGGAGTTCTTGATGGCTCACTTAGTCTAATTGCAATCCTTTCTTAGTTAAGTTAACAAGTAAGATTCCTTACTTTTTCAATATGGAATTTTTTTTCTAATTCAAACTTTTTAAAGTGTCATAGTTACCTTTTGTTGTTTTATTTATGCAACGTTTTTTGTGATGTTTTTTTAATAGAAATATCTTATTTATGGTTTAGTTTATACGAATGGGGAGATTCATAATTTGTTCAAAACAACACATGTTTGTTGAGTGTAGCGTAATCTTTTATAGTTTAAAGTGAATAAAGTTCAAAGAGTTGTCAAGTAGCCTCAATGTGTATAAATATGTTAAACATGCTTATGTTCACTACGAAGATTTTTGTTTATCCAAAAAACATTTCTATTAATATATATTTTATACTTAAAAAAAACCAATATAGATTATTTTCAAGCAATTCAATTTATAATTATCTAATTTCAGACATGATTATAGTTTTTGAGTAAGAAGATAAAATTAAATATATTATTTTATATATAGGGATGAGTATATGGACCGGGGAACCGGTCGGAACCGGTACCGAAACCGGAACCGGAACCCGATGGAACTGGTCGGGCTGGGACCGAGACGTTATTTTTATGTATTTTTGGAACCGGGAACCGGTAGGAACCGGAACCGATATAACCAGAACCGGCAAAAACCGGAACCGTATGATGCTATTTTTCGAAGACTGATTCTAACATTTGAAGACACGAAAAGAACCGGTAGAAACCGGGAACCGGTAGAGTCACCGAGACGGTTCAGTTCTTGATTTTGGCCGAAGCCGGTTCCCGGGTCGGGGCCGGTTCTGGCCGGTTCGGTCCTTTTGCCCATCCCTATTTATATATTATCCATAATCAAAAAATTTATTTAATTGATTTTATATTATAAGCTTTATCAATTGTAATTATTAAAATTGAGTAATTGGAATTTAGTTATTAGTAAAAGGGATATATACAGAAAAGTCCCGATATTTTCATCCAATTGACACGAAAGTCCCAAACTAATTTTTTTTTACACAAAAGCTTGAATTACCGGCATTTATTGACCCGGTTAACCTTTTTTGCCAGTAACTCATTTAATAGCCGGTAATCGAGTTGATGTGGCTACTAACGCTTACTTGGAAGATGGCGAGGACATAATTAAATGAAGGAGGGTTAATCGAGCTAGAAAAATCTCTCTTTCTACTGCGATGATTCTAGGTTTTTTACTGTGAGGGTGATACGAATTCGAGTCCAAGGGAGATACGAATTGGAGCCTTGAAAATGGAAGGTGTGTTGGACTTTGACACAATCGACGTGGAACTAAATGAAGACCTTCTAAAGAAACAGAGTAGGAGATGTAGAGATGAGTTCTTGAACTCACTATCTCTTGACGATGAAGATGAAGACTTCATAATCCCATTATTCGAGAATGTTGAAGATGATGAAGCACCCGTGGAAGAAGAACCTTTGGATGACGAACTGGAGAAGGAAGAAAATGTAGATGAAGCTGTGGATGAAGAGGCAAATGATAGTGAAGCTCAGTTTAAATATTCCACACATGATCCAAATGTGAAATGGAATAGAATGAAACCTCAAGAGGGAGAAAGGTATGAATCTCCACAACAACTTAAACTCTGTTTAACAAATCATGCCATATCTAAAGGTTATCATATTAGGTTTAATAAATGTGATAGTGTTAGACTACATTGTGTGTGTGCTAGTGATCTTGAGAAATTCGGTTGTCCTTATTATGTTAAAGCCTCTTGGATGAGCAATGAAAAGTCATTACAAATAAAGAAAATGTATCCACATCATACATGTGTCAAGAATTTTAACAATGGAAAACTTATGAGACTAACATGGTTAGCTAGACAATTCCTTACAAAATTGATTAGGACACCTAATTTGAAAGCTAAGGAAATCCAAGAAAAAGTTCAACGCAAATTTCACACTAAGATTTCATGGGTAAGGAGTTATAGGGCTAGATGTAGGGCAATGTCCATAATTGAGGGAAAATTAGGTGATCACCATGCAAGGGTGTGGGATTATGGTGGTGAATTGCTAAGATCCAATCCATACAGCACCATTAAAATTTGTGTTGAAGACAACAATGATGGTATAACTATTTTCAAAATGATGTACATATGTTTCAAATCAATCAAAGAAGGGTGGAAGATATGTTGTAGAAGGGTAGTAAGGATTGATGAATATTTTCTAAAAGGGCAGTGTAAGGGACAATTATTAACAGACATAGGTAGGGACCCAAACAATCAAGTTTTTCCCATAGATTGGGTTGTAGTTGACATTGAGAATAAGTTTAACTGGAAGTGGTTCCTTCAGATGTTAGAGGTTGACCTTGGAATGGATGCAGGAAGAGGCATGTGAGTAATTTCAAACCAACATAAGGGTCTTCTTGAGGCAACAAAGGAGGTGTTACCATATGTTAAGTACAGACAGTGTGCACGACATATCTATGCCAACTTCAGAAAAGTATATAGTGGAATTAAGTTAAGGAACCTATTCTGGAAGGCTTCCAAATCAACTGTAGAGGGGGAATTCAAGAATCAAATGGATGAGATTAGATAGATTAGCCCAGGTGCTTATGAACATCTAAAGGCAAGGGAGCCAAATACATGGTGCAGCGCTTTCTTTTCAACTAGATTAGCCTATGTGGCTGTAGAAAATGGTATGGTAGAATGCTTCAATGCAGTTATACTTGATGCTAGGAAGAAGCCACTGCTGACCATGCTTGAAGAGATAAGGCTATATATGATGGACATGTTTTACAATCTCAGGGAGTTAGCTGAAAAATAGGAAGGTGATGTGTGTCCATCTGCAATTAAGAAAATGGAGGAATTTGGTGAGGACTTGAGGTAATTTCTCCTTGTTTTGTATACATTTATGTTAAGTTATTCATAACTTTTATGCTAACTTATTAATAACTTTTATTTGCAGATTTTGGAGGGTACGCCTTAGTGGGCAAAATGAATTTGAAGTTAGAAATGGTATTGAATCATATGGAGTCAACTTAGGGAAAAAGACTTGTGCATGCAGACTTTGGGATGTATCAGGGATACCATGTGTCCATGCACAAGCATCTATCATGTTAACTCATCAGGATCCAAAGGAATTTATCAACGGGTGGTTTGGTAAGGCAATGTACATTACAAGTTATAGTTCTAACATTCTACCTGTCAATGGCAACAATTTATGAGCAGAAGCTCCTTATATTAATCCCTTACCCCCCCCCCCCCCCTTAGAGAGGAGGATGCCAGGAAGACCTACTGTGAAGAGGAAAAGGCATGTCTCAGAGAGGGATGACAAGTTCTCCCAAGTGTCTTCAAAGGCAGAACTGTCCAATGTCAAAATTGTCAAAAAAAAAGGAGGGGGGGCATAACAAGAAAAGCTATAAAAATCCACATGTTGAACTAGATCCTAAACCCAAAAAGAAAATAGGTAGGCCAAGATTGGACCCTAGTCTAACCCAATAGACAAGACGTGGTAGAGGGGGGGAAGGGGGAATAGAGTAGGTGGTAGGGTACCCAGAGGTGGGGGTGGCTTTCATAGGTGGTTTGAAAGAGGTGAAACCTCAAATACAGTACAACCCCAAAAAAGGGTCAATGAAGAATATAAATCTGAAGAGATGGTGGATGTAGATGTGATGAATGATGGATATGGGCTGGATATCACAGATATGGACTACATTATAAAACAAGTTACACAATTGAGGAAATCAGGTTACACTGATGTAGACATTATGAGATGCCTTGAAATTACAAAAGCACATTTACAAGAGTTTGGAACTGTGGTAAGGTTTCATTTAGTGTTTATGTATATAATTCAATGTTTTTTACTAATTTTTTTTTTCTGTTTTAGGTTGCTAATGTTGAAGGTGGACTGGAAGGAGATGGACAGGGTAATAAAGAAGAAGAAGGACAAGGGCAAGGAAATGGAGTGGAAGGAGGTGGATAATGAAGAAGAAGAAAAAATGGACAAGGATAAAGTGGAAGGAGGTGGAGATGGACAAGTTAATGAAGAAGAAGGTGGACAAGAAAGAGAAGGGGACGGAGAAGAAGAAGATGGAGAAGGGGATGGAGAAGAAGAAGAAGAAGAAGATGGAGAATGAGATGGAGAAGGAGATGGAGAAGAAGAAGATAGAGAAGGGGAAAGAGGTGAAGTTGAAGATGTTCAAGGAAATGAAGAAGGTGGAGAAGGAGTTGAAGTGGAAGTTGAAGATGTTGAAGGAAATGAAGAAGGTGTCCCAATGAATGATCCAGTACAACAAGGGCATTTTGGGAATAATATGCAACAAAGAATAAGGAGACCCTCAGAGAGGATCATTCTTCAGAAGTTGAAAAAGAAGGTGGTTGACCCTCTTGGTATAGGAATGTGTCAAGATAAGGCATTTATTATAGATCAAGGATAAGGGTTATATCAATTTGGTGTATATCATCTTTTGGTTAGTATTTTGTAAACATTGTTGCATACCATCTTTTGGTTTATATTTTGTAAAAGGTGGTACTATGTAAACTGTTGCATACCATCTTTTGGTTCATATTTTGTAAATGGTGGTACATATCCACTTATATTGGTTCATATTTTGTAAACAATTACTAGTAATTAAGCAAGGGCATCAAGCAATGGTCAAAATTGGTCAATGTTATATTTTAGTTTAAATTTGGTTGTACAGGTTAGCCTTGGTTAATGATAGTTTTATTATTCATATGTGGTTCATAGTTGTTGTACTTTGATTTCACCATAATTCAATACAACATAAGTAAAATTTTGATTACATTGCAAAAGAAACAACATCGTACATAGTGACTACATTATCTTAAAATAAAAACAAAAACATAAACCCAAAATAAACCACATCATTGACCACCCTGGAACAACACCACCTGCACCTTGCACTTGAGCTGGAACAATTTCTATTACAGCTTCTTCCATTTGTTCTACAACATCTCTATTCCACCATTGTGCAATTGTAAGAGCAATTCCTTGTACCACGGATTAGGGAGTGGAGGATCCACCCAATCAAAGAATTTGCAATCCTTACTCGAATCCTGGATAATCCAAGATTAAAGAAAAAAACTAAAAGATGAAGAATTTCAACATTAACAACTAACCCTATAATTTAGGCATCCAATGAATCTTCTTCCAGGATTTCCTGTCTTCCATGAAGTCCACCTTCCAACCAAGTCACCACAGTCACAATGTGTCCTTTGTGGGGGATTGAACCTTCTCACAACCTTGCTTCCAACAGATGAAGAAGACGACATTCTCGTCTTCCAACAGATGAAGAATACGAAGCTAGGGTTCATGGGGATTGAAGTTATGGTGCTTAAGTAAGGTCAAAAACTCCACGTAAGCCTCTCATTTAATGAATCAGTGGTCCACGTAAGCATTTGGTGCCACTTCACCAAGTAAACCGGCTGCACCGGCAAAAAAGGTCAATCGGGTCAATAAATGTCGGTATGTGTCAAAAAAAATTAGTTTGAAACTTTCGTGTCAATTTGATGAAAATATCGGAAATTTTCTGTATATATCCCTTAGTAAAAAAATCTTACTAAATAATAGTGCACTTTCATTTAAATTATATATCTACAAACTAATAAACCAATAATTTGTAATTTCTTCTTGAGATGGCATTATACATTCACTGAAATGGTAGTGTATTATAACTTAAATAATTAATTTGTTTGTTATTGAACCAATGAAATGATATATTAGTTATATGAACAAAAAGTTTGTCCACTCTGAAGTGCCCGTACCGAACCACTAACTTAATCTATAAAAGTGGCAAAACGCATGAAATGACAATGTATTTTTATTTGTATGTGTGTTATAGCATTTTACTTTTATTTCTCTTTTTACAACTTTATAATATGAATAATTTGTGAGTATGATACATTACTGGGATAAAGGAATGAAATGGAAACATAATTTCCATTTATATATCTTTTATAGGCTTAAAACAACCTACTTTCATTTCTTTTTTACAACATACAACATGATGTTTAGTGACAGAGTAATTTGATGTTTCTTTAACAATTCAACGCCCTTAATAAAACGTGTAATCTCATGTTCTATTTTTGAAGTTAAATTCATTATACATGGCTTTTTTATTTCTTTTATGATATTTAATTGAACACTCTATTGCATTTGCAAATGTGTAGCCATTAATCATTTTTCTTGTTGGTGTTTAAGTTTGTCATATTATATAAATAAACAATCGATACTTGTAAACATTTAATTGCTTTTTGAAACTCTGAATGGAGGAAAGAAAACCATCCAAAACCTTTATCGTATGTAAAGTTGGTTTTACACATGAAAATTTAAAGATTAAAAAAAGGGGAATTAGCAAAATTAACCAAATTTTAAAATAGTATTAAAAAAATAATCAAAAGTATATACTCTTTTACCAAATAACTAAGTCGGAAATCGGTGGACCGCCTAAATTTTTATTTCTGACAAAAATTATATTTTAGAATAACATTTTGGATTCCATTCAAGAATTCCAAATTTTACACCGAAATTAGAGTTCTTGACAGAATTCAAAAATAATAATAATAATAATAATAATTAAAAAAACGTTGGAATTTCAAAACAAGTCGAAAGTTTGTTGAACATTTATCAAATTCGAAAAATATACTTTGTTTTTAACAAAAATATTAAAAACATAAAGCGAAACGGAAGTATATTCGATACAAGTGATTAAAATATGACATTTAGTTGAATTCGAACATTAGTATCAAGAGTTTTTTGAAAAAATAAATTGAAAAAAAGAAAAAGTACCTTCGGAATTTAAAAAGAAAGTATGAAACACGACATTCCGGATAAAATACTTATTTTTCAAAACTGAAATATATATATATATATATATATATATATATATATATATATATATATATATATATATATATATATATATATATATATATATATATATTATTTTGAATTTGGATTATGTCCCCTTTGTATGTTTTCCTGATCTGTCGATCAGTTTTTTGAATGAGAATAACTTTCTCTCAAGTTCTTCTTTCTTCTTTCCTTCAAATCTAACATGGTATCAGAGCGGGTTTGCTGATCCAAACCTTGTTATTATTCATCAATCGTTGTTGATTGATTTCTCAATCATCGGTAACCATGCCTCGTACAACCATAGAGACTGACGCTTCATCATCCTCTGAAACTTCTCCAAATCCTTCAAGTCCATATTTTATTTCTTCTTCTGACAACCCGAATTCCATTCTCGTTTCATCTGTTTTTAATGGAGTGGGTTTCAATTCATGGAAACGGTCCATGACAATTTCTCTCACCGCCAAAAACAAAATTGGTTTTGTTGATGGAACCATTGTAGCACCTTCTGAAATTGATCCAGAATACACTCTTTGGTTTCGAGCAAATTCAATGGTTATCGGTTGGTTGCTGAATTCCCTTCACAAAAACATCGCAGACAGTGTTCTTTTCCTACAAACCGCAAAAGAAATTTGGACAGAGTTGAAAAGTCGTTATGAACAATTAGATGGAGCTTTACTCTACCAGATTCAACAACAACTCTATTCGTTGTCTCAAGGTACAGAGGATTTATCATCTTATTACACTAAATTAAGTAAAATATGGGATGAGTTAAGAATCGTTCAAGGTGTACCCGCATGTTCTTGTGCCTCTGCCACTGCAATCAACAAATTCCTCAAAGAACAACGCTTAATTTAGTTGTTAATGGGTCTCAATGATTCATATAAAGTCATTCGTGGTCAAATATTGATGATGAAACCGCTGCCTTCAATATCTACTACTTATTCCATGATCATTCAAGAAGAACGTCAAAGAGGCATAACTGCTTCTTCTCCCTTACAATCCGATGCTATTGCGATGCTTGCTTCTGGTGATTCATCAAAGAAGTTATTGACCCGCACACACTGCAAGAAGACTGGACATACAAAATCTCAGTGCTTTCGGTTGAATGGTTTTCCCCCAAATTTCAAATTCACCAAAAATAATCGCAATGACACTAAACCTTCTGCTCAACATGTTGAAACCGTCTCTGCACCTACCATCACTACTGATCAATATGATCATCTTCTCCAGCTTCTCAATGCAAATAACATAAGTCCATCAATTATTCCAAATCAAGTCAATGTTTCAATCACTGATGGTGCAATGGCAAATGAAGGTAAAAAAATTTCTTTTGCCAAGTTTGCTTCAAATGTCTATAAATCCAAAGAGTTTTTACAACCTCACTACTCTTGGATCATAGACAGTGGAGCAACAGATCACATGTGTTCCTACAGTTCCTTATTTCTTTTCATGAATAAACTTTCTCAGCCTATTTCAATTGGTCTTCCTGATGGTCATACCGCTTCTGTTACTTATATTGGTGACATTCAAATCCACAGTAATCTCATTCTTCATGGAGTCTTTTATTTGCCCTCCTTCAAATACAATTTAATGTCAATTACCAAGTTCACTTCACAGCTTCAAACTTTTGTTATCTTTACTGATACAAAATGTTTTGTGCAGGACCCTTCTTCTAAGGGTAGCATATCTCTTGGCATTTTGGGAGATAGAGTCAATGATCTTTATGTGTTTGACCACAGAAGACTTCAGAAGACTTTTTCTTTTTGTAATTCTGTTTCCAAGTTGTTTCATGTTTTCAATAATGTTGTCAAACAATCTTATTTCAATTATGTACTTTGGCATAAACGTTTTGGCCATATTCCAATCAAGAAGTTACATTCCTTTTCATTAATTCCTTCTTCTACTCCTGTTGATTCGATTAATATGTGTGATATTTGTTCCAAGGCCAAACAACATAAGTTACCTTTTTCTAAAAGTATCTCTGTCACTTCTAATCCATTTGATCTAATTCACATAGATATTTGGGGTCCCTACAAGCATTCTACATGTGATGGCCACAAATATTTCTTAACCATTGTGGATGATCACACCAGATACACATGGGTTCATTTGTTAAAACACAAAAGCTATGCTTTTGTTCTGATTAAGGCTTTTATTGCTCTCATCCAAACTCAATTCCCCAAAACTATTAAATGCATTAGAAGTGATAATGCCTATGAACTGGGATCAAGTAATGAGGGTCAAGAGTTTTAAAAATCAAGGCATCATACATCAAACTTCTATTGCTCATTTACCTCAACAAAATGGATTAGTAGAGAGGAAACACAGACAAATTCTGGAGATATCTTGTGCATTGTTCTTTCAATCTGGGTTGGGTATTGCATACTGGGGTGGGTGTATCATGACAGCCATTCATCTTATGAACAGAATGCCATCCAAAATCATCAATCACAAAACACCATTTGAAATTATGTTCAATCATAAACCACATCTTGAATATCTCAGAAGTTTTGGGTGCCTATGTCATGTCTCTACCTCTTCTGTAGGCAGAGATAAATTTAT